CCCAAAAAAAAAGAAAACCCACAAACAAACACAAAAACTAAAATATTGAACCAAGTTCATTGTACTTCATCCTTGATATTTCGAATACATATAACTTGAATCAAGACATAAGCACTTAAAAAAAATCAAGGATCAAGTGCAATGTACTTGGTCTAAGAACTCAGGTTTCTGGGCGAATGCGAGAGGTTTAATAGATGATAGACCTATCTACTGGCGAAAACTTCATATTTTTCTTTTTCAGGGAACTTACAGAGGTGTCAATTGTGTGGTTCAGCTGCCCCCGTTGCGGCACTTCCCCTCGCTGCCCTACGGGCGCTACAAGGTCTACATCTTGGTAGGGTACTTCAAGTCGTCCAACCCGAAGGAGCTCAGGTCGTGCCTCAAGGCGATAGCCGACGTCGTTCCCAGAACTTGATATTCAAAACGCGGAGGAAGTGTTAAAACGAATTACAGAAAAAAAGAAAAAAAAGGACTTGACTAGATCATTTTTTTTCTTTTAATTCTTCTATAAAAACAACAATTTTATGTACAACAATCGTATACACTCGTATAGTATAGTTTAATATGCTGGGTGGTTAGTTCTCCCCGTCAACAGTCGTAGAGTGACTGCACCGCACCACACTCGTCCTTGTGAGAAATCGAAACGATATCGAAACGGCATATCGTTCCGTCACGTTTTTGATCGTTTACACATTGTTTCGATATCATTTCGACTTATCACTAATCACTAGTACGGGCGGGCTTGCCTGGCGGGGAGAATCAGCCAGGTGTACACACACAACATACTTTCACAATATCACCTTTGAAACATAACTGGGAAAAAATCAACAAAAGTAAAAAAACGAAAACAGACCACTTTTTTCCCTTCTCGAAATGACTAGATGACACGATGTTTTGTTTAAGGAACGTTAAAAAATTCTTGAGATAGTACACTACAATTTAAGTAATTATTTACAAATATGTTTTGTCACTCGGAGACCTGCGACCGTCTGCGAATGATTTTTTGTAGAATTCCGCAGTGCCACACCGATATCGAAATGATATCATGATTCTGAACTTTCAAAATCGTGTCAATAGTGGTTCAACACACTTCTTTTCCCAATTTCAAGTAGTGGAAAACAAAGCCTATTTACAAAGGAAATTTCTTTCAGCTACGCTTATTATTATTAAGAACTAACGTTTAGCGTTCATTTCACGAAAATGTGGACTCTAGCGCGCCGAGACGTTGAGCCGGATGCCGTCGATGGGGGTGGGAATGATGCAGCGAGGGTTCATCCTGGCCTCCTTTGGCATGTCGGCCGGCAAGGACACCTTGGCGCGGGACAGGATGGTGATGAGGGCCATCTTGACCTGGACGAGCCCCAGGCGCATTCCTGCAGGACAACAGTTTTCTATACTTTCTTAT